TTTTAAGGATATATAACGCACGTCGCGCGATGGGATTACAATTAAAACGCTACCGTTCCCCATTAATCCCTTACGGATCGGCCGCGGATGCCGTCATCGACATTGTCCTCGAGCTACCGATGAAACTTCTTTTCTGCCTACCTATTCGCCCTCGCGTCCCTCTTATCATTTCCACCGATGTTTCCCCATAACACTCGCCGCTATTCGCTGACTTCGACGTTCCCTATAAGTTATTGGCCGAGAATGAGGAAGAATTTTCACGGGCAGGCTCGATAACGTTATCGAGACTTAAGGATGATTCAAGCGTTTTTATCTCTCTTACGGCTGGTCGTCCTCCGGAACACGATCCTTGAGTCATTCTAACAAAGAAAAAATAGGAAGAGAGCGAAAAAGAGAGAGAAAGAAGGAGGAGGGGAGAAAAAGAGAGGGGGAGAAAGAGAAACGAAGGTACGATGGAAGGGATAGAGAGCGCGGTAAAGAGAGGGAGAAGCTAGAGAAGAGAAGAGAAAAGGTGCAGCAGTTCGCCCGATGGTTACGAATGCGGCAAGGCCGAGAGAAGGAACAGTAAAATTGTGGAGAATGTGTACGCGCCATCAGGGTGGCCTAGATTCAGTCAAGACCTGCTTTCTAGGCAGCATTTCTCTTTATCATCGGCACCGCCGAGCACAATGTATAGGTAAACGTTGCTCGGCTGCCGCGATCCCGGAGAAAATCTCAGGTGCACGGTACGTGCATGTCAGTCCTTTAATAATACTCGTACATCGATGTTCCTTAACGAATAACATACATTTACGCTCGGTAATTCTATATCGTTTATAAATAACGTCGTAAACTTTCGTCCTTTCTGCTCTACACGCGGGGATGCCGAGGCTCGACCCTTATCCTTTTTCTCTCGCCACCCTTGAATACAGGAAAAATCCTTTAAATAATCAATTAAACCGAACCTCGCTTCGCTTAAGCACTCGCGCAACACGTTCCTTTCGCGCTCATCGAGCAGGTGACCCTTCCTGTAACGGGTTAATTATGTTTCGAAAAATTAAGTGTTCTGTAAGATTAAATCCTTGTACAGATAAGAAAGCTGAACAACATCGATTAACAAAACTATCGCCTCCCCTTTGCAACCGTGTTTACTTAATTTTTACTTTGTTTTAGAGAAATCATTTTTTTCTTAAGCTCACATTATCCTCCCGGGTTAATTTCCATCTTTCAATATTGAGCAACTCCGGAATATGGGTTGCCCTTAAATTTCAGACGAATTTTTATCATTCCGAACACCCGTGCGCGCGCAAGTTGACGGATGTGAGATAACCGATCTACGCAAGATATCGTAGTTTTTCTAAAAGGAAACGAACCGTTTCAATGATAAAACGAAAAATTAGGGGAAAACTTCCGCAAGAATATCGACTCGTTGTAACGATTCACGAGCTATACGTGTATACATTGAAACGTATTTGCGGCGAGTATTATAATTCGTAAGTCGAGGGAACCTGAACGCGAGAACGAGACACTGGCCGTGTTTTCCATTGTGTTTGGCTGTATAATACGCGGCGCAAACATTAAATAAGTGTTTCCTGCGCATACGTAATCGTTGATTATTGGACAGTTATCGTGCACGTGACCTACCGTAATCGGCGACAGCGTTTCGAACGTGCACGCGGCAAGTGTTCCAAATCCTCATGGAGGTGCCACGAGGCGCGCGTGTGGAGGGACGTTGTTTTAATTCGTCGGTCGCCTCCCGTACGGACGGGTCGTTAAACGTCGTAGATCATTGTCACGCACACCTACGCGAGTACGCACACGCGGGCTTGACCAGCTGTGCCGAGATACACGGGCGAACAGTCGAAAGTCAAAACAATACGTGCGGGCACGCGTGATACGCGCGACGCGGAATGTCACTCGCCCGAGCGATCACGATCGACGTTGATTTCCGTTCGATCGGCGACCGTTAAATTGTTGTCGGGGAGGTTCAGGGGGAGACTGACACTTTATTTTAGACAACGTACCGAGTAAATCTGTCGTTCACGATCGTACGCGGCGACTTGCGAACGCCTAGGATCTCCGCGACGAGACAATAACACGCGCGAGCGACGACCGTGGTTTAGACGTGGATAGTTTTCTGCTTTACCGTCGAAACCGAGGGGTCACAGAAGAAAAAACATTCGGGAATAGCGGAACTTATCGTCAAAGCGTTCGCGGATGTCGTTGTTCCGATGTATCAACGAAAACACAAGGAAATAATCGTCGACACTTACCTTACCATGACAACTTGACGCTCGAATGAAATCACCGCCGGAGCAAATGTTCAACCGATTCTTGGCAACTCTGTGCCAAGGCCCACGGTAGACACTCACTTTTGCTGCAGTTTATGACACTTTACTCTGTGTGTGTATCTGTACGTATGTATGTAGTGTTTAGTGTACGTGTGTTGTGTGTCTACGTGTTTTGTGTGTACAGAGAGGAGCACGCACGGGAGAACCAAACGAGACGGACGCCTTCTCACGAACGATCCTCACACGGAACGCGTATTCACGCGATGACACACGGGGACAATTGTCAGTCGTCGCGTAAAGCACGTACCGCGCTGACGACTGGCAGCTGTCACTCTCTCGGTTCGCCCGTGAAAACGTCGCGGCACGAAGTGGCGTAGCGAATCACGGAGAGAGACGGACAAGGGGAAGGAGAAGGAGAAAGAGAAAGACATAAATGCACACTAGGGGGCACCGTGATGGCGGCGGACGGCCCGTGTTCCGTTGCGGACGGTGGCGCAAAGCGATTAAGCGATTTTGTTGTGGACCCCGATTCTTCCCTTCGTCGGCTCTCTCTTCCCGGCTTTCCACTTCTCCCGCGCCGCCTTTCGCCTCTCCCGCCTGTCGCTACGGCTGCGCTACGCGTAAACGCGCCCCTCAACGGAAATCTGCCTTCATCCCCACCACCGTTCGCCAGGAATCCCTACCTCTCCACGAATTGCCGTGATGTTAGACCGGCAAAAATCAGGATTGTATCAACTTTTATCGTTTTACTGACAAAGTTTGGTAAAATGTAATGAAAATGTCATTGAAATACCATTCGAATGTTCTATACGGTAGAGGTTAGGTAAAATGATATTTTATTTGGGAAAAGAAATTTTTACGAATAAAATACTATTAATTCTGTGACTTCATATACAAGATTAGGTATTTTGATTTTGTAAATATATACTATAATATATTTCTTCGTAGTATTAAGAAAAGAAGTAGTGGCATGCCAATAGGGACAATAATATTTGATAACGTTAATTTATTTTGTTATGGACTATGAATATACGACAAGTATATGTTTAGGTTATTGCTCCATGGATCCACAATTAACACAGGTAATAAAAAATCTCATTGTTTTTAGCATCTTTGAAACAACGTATTATGTATATTAGAAATGTATTAAAGTACATGAGATGTATTTTACTTTCAACGTTCACAAAAATGATTATCAAATTTACTATTTACTGTTTACTTCTTGAGATGATACTTTACCCAGATTATTTACAGCTTGCCAACCTCTTGCCATAAAATAAATCTAACCTAAAAGTAAAGGCTTTTTGATAGTCTTCTCGTATAAGGTTTATCAAAATTGTAGAGGATATCGATTTTCATTGAAGTTTGAATTATGTATAGCATGATATGACCGAAGAACCTCCATGTTTGGTTCATAGATTTTCAATACGTAAAAGTGATTTGTACGTTCATTATTATTTTATAAATCGATTGTATGATAAAAGATACTAAATATTGCTTTTTGTCGGACATTTGTATACTTATCAGTGTGCCGCGCAAAAATAGTCACTAGGTTCTGAAAGTCTCTCGACGACCCTGCACTAGACGGCCGTTCTCTTTGCCCCACTATTCGTACCTCGATGCGCAGAAGGGCGATTTTAATTTTCTGCGCCGCGTCTCCCCTCAAGGGGCACACTGTTTCCGTACATCCCGGTTATCCCCTCGCAGAGCGGGTCGATCGTTAACGCGTAGCACCACGGCCATTGTGTAAAAAGAAGCCACGGCGCTCGGATAGTGCACGCTGAGGACGGGACGGTGTAGTTTTTCCAAGTTTTCCTCTTGTGATATTTAGACTGTGCCAATATAGGTAAGTACTACACGTTTATACACATTAAGTTGATATATTAGGTGTTAAGCTTTAGTTCAGGTAGTTTTTTTGCAGTCGCGAAAACTCGGTGGAAAATCAGGTCGCCTCGTTATGCCAAGGGTGATGATGCGGTTTTGTCATCTTATAAGCGTGATCTTACGAGATCATATAACTTAAACAATACTCCAATTCGTGCAAGAATCGCGTTATTCGAATGAATTAGTGGCCTTTCGCAATAAAGTTGCCCGCGTTTTCCGAGCTTATTTTGGGGAGTTTTCGCCATTTTGCTTTGGCCAAGTCCGTAGAGTCGGCCATTACGTACGCGTGCCAGGTTCGGTCCAGGGCCGGTTAATGACGTTGAAGACGCTTCGTACTTTTTTTTGACTTATGTACATTTTCATATAGACATTGATCTAATTGAATTTTTTACGAAACAGTTGAAGTGTTTGTTCATAACACGCCTCCCACATTGTGTACGTGCATCGAAGTGATATATCATTTAATTCATTTTTTCGTAATTATATTTAAAGCACTTTGCTGTTTCACGGTATTAAAGGAACTTATGTATATTTTAGCATTTAGGTATTTTCTACGTGTTTGCCATACAATAAAAGCTTAACACTGCTTTTTTTTTATTTATGACACGATTACGGTATATTTTGAGCGCAAAGTATATAATCTCGTAATTACTGCTCTCGTGAGAGGTTAAATTACCAATGAAAATTTTGGTAACAACATATATCATGTCCGAGGGAAATAGGAAAGTTCGCATTTTGTTTGTTAGCGTCCTCTAGTTGCAATTTCCAATCACGGCGAGATGATCCTAGCTTTCGGGAGTAGAGCGCATGCTCGATAGTTTCCTTCGTTTTTTCTTCTCTCGTGCCCTCTTCCGGGGAAGCCTGCGCTCTCTGACGGTCGGTGTACGGGCAAGCCAGCAAGCGTTGCGCTACGCCATTGTTGAAAAGGGCAGCGCTCAAGGCGCACGCCGAGCTTGGACGCTTACGCAGTTTTTCACTTTTCATCGATCCCGTTGCTGTGATATTAGATTGTTTTATACCCCATATTAGGTAAGTGCTGCAACACGTAGACTAGTTCACACGTAGAAACTGTGACCTCGCGTCGGAATTCTTAAGAAAATTCCGGAAAATCTTAAGGTGGGCGACATGGCGCGGGCGGATCCTCTCTCGTATATATTTTTGAGAAAACACCATCTTGGCTTTCGTCGAGCGCGTTAATGAAATTTCCCGATAAAGTAAGCGTTTGCGATTTTCGTGTGTTTGTCCAGACGATACTTTAACGGTGAATTACAATATCGTTAATTATACGATTTCGCGATCGATATACTTTTCCTTGCGAGCTTTTCTTCTATCGCCATTTTGTCCGGGCGCGACCTCGCGGACGGCCATATTGCGATCCACGTCTCCTCTCTCTCGTGGTTTCCGGGGGCGGTGCGAGGAAAGTGCATCGTTCTTTTTCGCCGGTCGGTAGATGCGATTGGAAAAATTATCTGTCGCTAACTTGTTTTTGTTTCGCGCACACGTTGCTCGGCGCCATCTGACGTAACATTCAATACAAGATAACAATATAAATAGATTATGCAATCGTGTGTAAGCAGTGAATGCTCCTCGTTTTATTTCGTATTAATCTTTACCACACTTATACTTGTATTATCGTTCCTCCCCCACCCGAGATTGAAACTTACGCGTTGCGCATGTGAAAGACCAGTAATTGATTTTCCATTTTATTGCGCGTTAATGATGTAAACTTCGATGACGTAAACTTATATTACAATACTTCGCCCTCTTCAATAAATTCGGTATAATTTTCCGGGCGCTCTTCCCGCCGCGAACTATTATTTGAAACGCTTCGCTCTTTTTTCTCCATGTAACGCGCTGCATTATACTCATAGAATAAGCTAATGCGTGAGGCTGCTAACAAATTTGCAATTCTAGTTCAACCGGCGTAATTCTTTAATCAATTCAGACGCTTTATAATTAAAGCGATGTTCACCGATTCAACTCGTATTGATTCGTAACGGCAATATACGGTGAATGCATTTTTTTTATTATTATACATTCTTCGGCATTTCGATATTAATTCCCATTTCACCGATTCGAAATATTTTTCAATCGCACGCGTACGTGATTCCTGTCGCGAGAAAATTCTTGTGGTTCGGTTCCGCGGTTAGGGAACCGGAGAATCCAGCAGACGCCCCTGAATTCCAGGATCTCGAGCTAGTGCGCAAGTTGAGCGCGCAGCTCGGGCGCAGCTGCGCATGCGTGGTGCTTGCGCGTCCTCCTGCATCATCCCCACCAAATCGTCCATTACCGTTATGAGGACACGCACAAAGGAAAAGGCCAGAAGACCGAATCGACCGACGCGCTTGCATCGTACGGCCATTTTGGAAGCTTCGGTGCTTCCTTGCGGAGCTTTCGCGGCGGTTGCGTTATCGATCGCCGAACCGGAGAAAATTCGTCAAGTTCTGTGGTGCAATCTCGAATTATCCGCCTCGATGTACGCGTTAACAGGCCGCGGGATAGTTAGATAGCATTAGGCACGGTCGATATTGAACGACAGCCGCGCGGGGGTCTTGTTACGCTCTGCTCATCGCCACAGGTATCTTTTTTTCTGATTGATTCAGAAACGAGGGAACGAAGCCAGACAAAATGGAAGACGACCAGCAGTTCTGTTTGAGGTGGAACAACCACCAAAGCACACTAATTCAAAATTTCGACACACTTCTCGAAAGCGGGACGCTGGTCGACTGCACCTTGGCGGCGGAGGGGAAATACTTAAAGGCCCATAAAGTAGTTCTCTCCGCGTGCAGTCCCTATTTTGAGGTAACTCCACTTTTTTTATTATCTGATAATCGCGACAGTAGTCTACGCTTGTCATTTTGACAGTACATTGACACATCAAGATAACCTCGGGATTAAGGTTGGAACAGTTCAAGTCCGGCGAAAATGATTCGTTTAGTAAATTTAAAAGTTTCCAGTGGGTTCAGTGATCGGTATATAGAAAAAGCATAAAAAGTGAAATATGTTTTGTAGAGTTGAATGAATTCATTTTTGTGGGAATTTGTTCGCTTTTTTTTACATTCCATTGGCTAAGCGTTGTCGGGGATTCGAAGTACTGGAATTGAAACTGGTGGAAAAGGGGGGACCTGAAATTGAAACAAGATGGCTGCCCTTGTTGAACGTTGCCTGGGCTGAAGCCCGAGAGGCAGGGGGGAATGAAAGCCCAAACCCCCTCCTGGTTCCTCGTGATCAATACAGAGAAAGCAAGATGGCTGATTTCCAGGGCACTTGCCCTGGGATTTTACCCTGTTGTGGGTGGGGGTGTTTGCGGAGGCAGCCACTGCCTCATGAATTTGCCTATGGAATTGAATTTAGTAATATTGTTTCGTATCGTTGACCTCGCTCAGCCTACTGGGAATGATTCGACTATTCAATTTTTTTTTTTAAATATTTCATTCAGTATTTTCATTTAGTGTACTGCTACTGGAAAAGACTTTGCAGATCTTTCGAATCTAAACTTTGATGATTTTAAACGATAATAATACTTAGAAAATTTCGGATGTTGTGCTTGATAATTACACACACATGTTTTCATTATAGGGCCTCCTCAGCCAGCATTATGACAAACACCCAGTCTTCATACTCAAAGATGTTAAGTTTAAAGAATTAAAAGCGATGATGGACTACATGTACAGGGGAGAAGTTACTATCTCCCGAGACCAATTGGCAGCACTCGTCAATGCCGCCGAGTCTCTACAAATAAAAGGTTTATCGGAGAGTAAAACGGGTGGTATCTGTAAGACGGACTGTAGGCAACAAAAGGTCGTTCCACAAGCAACGGCCCCGTCGTTAGACATTCCACACGCGTCTTCCGGGCTCACAATAGAAAAAAATAAAGTTCCTAGGCAGAGTATGGCACAAGGTTCCCTCGGGGACCTGCCTGAAGACTCGGCCAGTCCCCAAGTACCTAAGGGTCTCTCCTCGAGGTAAGAGAAAATGTTTCACAGAGCATTAAAGTATTCAGTTAGTTGAAGAACATACGCGAATATTCAACTACGATATTTCGTTACAGAGAGGGCTCTCAAAGTCCAATATCGAGGAAAAAGAAAAGATCTAGAAGAAGTATCGGTGAAGATAATTCTGTTGAGAACCACGAGTCAAATTCGAGTGATGTGCCCCAACAAATGGGTATTCCTGCACTTGGTATCGCCCCGGTCGCAGACGAGAAGACGCACGCAGACCCCACAGACTCGCTCGGCAGGTCAGCCTTAATGACGCAGCTGACGAAACCCGCGGACGAAATGCTACAGGTAAATGATCTTGACGATCACCGGCTCTCGGATGTTTCTGCGAATTTCATGAAAGCTGAGCCAAAGAGCGCATTATTTTTCGTAATTATTATACTGGTACTTCAGTAATACAAGGCGATATTAAATTCCATGGAACTTTGTATTTTATTATCTCCTGAAAGGTTTTATGAGTCATAAACGCATAAACATCCGGAGTCTAATGGTTACCATCGAATCCTTTACTCTCGAGCCAACGCATAATGGAGACTGTTGCTTCTTCGTTGCTCTGTTTCTTTCGCTCGTTGGTAGAGTAACGATCTTCGTACTTTATCCTTCTGTCTGATTGGTAATTCGTTTGATCTCATAGAGTGGAAACGGTGCGATACAATGCCTTCTTGTTCAACGCGTTTTCTTGCGCGTTACTGAACATACGTTAGTCGAAGAATTTACGAGTTAATAATTTCATTTCCCCGCAGCTGCCACTTGAGAAGCCCGAGCCAAATGATAGTCTCATCGAGCCAAAGTCTGAATATCTCGAAGATCCGGAGGAGAGCGTCGAAGACCTGACGCTCGATGACGATATGAATGACCTGAATGAAATGGATGGCGATAATAACAGAGCAGGACCGTCCCACGACCCCTCCCAACAGCCTGGTAAGTTTGCACATCTCTGTTTCTTTGGTAACGGTAATCCGTCGTTTCGTAAAGTAGCGGAATACAGGGTAACATTCGCGGTTCGAGCGTCCGGTGACCGCTTAAATTTCATAAATTCAAGCTTGCCCAAGACATGAGAATTTGTACGTACAAAAGAAAAAGAAAAAAAAATATATATATATATATACACGGTAACCTATGAACAAATTCTATGACGGATACGAGATGGCGCAGTAGCGACAGTACTTCCATCCAAAAACGAAATCTTTGGATCGAAGCAGAGATCTCTCTACCCTGGCATATTCTACCCACAATGAGGAGATCGTGCTTTTTTCTCGCGTAGGTTCAAATTTTTCATGTTCATTGATAATCAATTTAATAGGAAAAACAAATAGAAATTTTTTTTTTAAATGAACAGAAAGAACAAGGAAAGGGACTCACTCTCGTTGTCATGATAGAACCGAAGTAGCTTAATCACGTGATCGTTTATTTGTTTATTAAGTGTTAAAACGGGTCGTGCGATGATCGGCCGACACTAGTTTGGGTTTCCTCGTTGCAGGTGGGGGGGCGGGAGCGCGGTCTCGGTCGAGAGGGAATTGGGGTGGTGGTGGCGGTGGTGCCGTCTGGGCGTCCCATTTCCTCGAATGTAAAAAAGGGCCGAATACGAGGCGGCCACGCCCAGACGCTGACGTAGGCGCGTTGCTTAAATCGCTGGAGAACAAACATGGCAGAAAGTATAGTTTAGACTCGGTTAAAATGTCCCTGGAGGCAATATTGCAGCAGGGGGTTAGCACCACACAGGCATCAGAGATGTATGGCATTAATCGCTCGACCCTGCAGTTCTATTTGAAAAAGTTGAACGTCAGCAGGAGGAGATGGAGACAACAGCCTAGTAACCTGATCCAGCCTAGGCAGGCTTAGTGTGTGCACGCTCTCCTGAAAGTAGTTTGCGCAAACGATGTTCAGTGTTTCGAGACCCGCCGGCGAGAAAATGCCCATTAATCAATTTAACGAAACCAAAATGAACGTGCAAAGAGAAAAACAACTTCTGTTCAGCTGTATCGTTTCTCTTTTTCAAACTTGCGTACTTAAACGTTTCGCTAGTTTCCCCGTCGAGTGGTGAGCGATTTTTCCCAATTAATTTACATTTAATACGGGTATCACGATCAATGATGATCGCTGATAGCATTTATTCTTTTCTGATTCCGCGATAGTTTTGCGCCAATCGTTGGAAATTGGTAAGCAACTTTGGCGTGAAGCGTACCTTAGCAACAGCTTTATCGCAGGTTCTGTCGAACCTGAGTTCTATCGGAATTTTTTAATGATTTCCTTTCTTCTGTTTTTTTCTCTCGTTTTCTAATGGGCAGTTTTTTGTACTGCGCGTTCCGATGTAAACAGGGTTCGAAGTTCAGTTCTCGAAGCTTAGCGCCGCAAACTTAGCGGCGTAAAGTATATTTATAAGTAAGTCCTCGTTGAATACATGGAGTCTATATGTGCTTGCATTCTGTGTACGGCTGAAAGAGTGATACGCTCTACACAGGTGTCCCGTCTGTATTACTCGTGCTCTCCGGACAAGCCGTGTCGTTCACCATTCGCATCGAACTTCTCCGCGACCGCGGCGGAGTTCACAAACGTTTCATGATTCACAGCGGTGTACAAAAGTGACAACTTATCAGTATTAATCTCTCCGTTCTAAGTGTTTAACCAGTAGGACCGATCGAATTTAGGCGATGCATTCATGGCATGTAAAAGTGTTCGACGTATGTTTGTATGCGTGTAAACGATCCGTGTATGTACGGCTGCGAAAACAAATAGGAATGTAAGGATGTTCCGTGTTTATCTGCCAAAAAGAAAAAAAAATATTCCACCACGAAGAATAACCTACGGGGTTGAATCGAAGGACTGTGTACCTTATTATAATAATGTCAGGTCTCGTCGTTTCTGTAAGCAAAAAAAAATTGAAAAAAACAAAAAAATGAGAAGAACCAGTAACAAGAACAATGATAAATGTAACACTTCCGATCGCGACGATAACACCCTGTATTTCACTACTTCTCCGTTCGAATTGTCCGAGGACACGAAAGGTATTTTTGTTCATCCGTTACCGATGAGGATTTTAATTGCGAATAAAGTATTTATCAACCCTTATTCCAAAACGAATATAATGACTTTTTTGGATTCACTGCTTCGATCCATGTCTGTTGCGCGGCCGGATTTGTTTATCCGTGTTTTCTTAGTTATCCTTGTTCTCTTGGTCCCGGCACAGAAAGGTGTTACGAGTACGGTTTGTTTTTTTTGTTTCATTAGCAGGTATGAGCGCGTGGCACGTTATTAGGGATCGAAATAACGCGGGAGGTGTCGTGGGCTCGGTGGCAGGAGCTACAGGACCGACAGACGAAGTTTTCCTGGCAGCCCAGGAGGCCGCCCAGGCCCACCGCGACTCTCAAGGTAGGCTCACCCACACCATTCTTCATCAGTTCCTGCACGCCGTAACAATAGGCACTCGACATTTATTCCGGCTCACCTGAGCGAACGCACGCAAGACATCCGAGACACTCTTAACACTTTACCCGCCCACTGCGAGCTTGTAAATGTCTTTCAACGTGCCTCAAGGAAAGAAAAACGAAATTTTAAAGAGTAGACGCCTTGATCAGCATACGTTTTGAGAACTTCGATTCCCATAAAGTGAATCCTGATAATGGAAACATTTGATCACTTTCAATCGAAGTAGCCCATTGATCCAGGGTTTCTAAGTCCACAAGTGGGACGGCTGAAATAGACAAATCATGAAGATTACTTGATCTGATCCAGTAAAACGCCTCGAGGGCAACATAAGTTATGCTCATCTATTTTATAAAGTAGACTACATTGTGTGCCATTTATTACACATTCATTTTGTTATCAAATGGACGTAGACGTTAATGCAATTCAATATAACCAAAATTCTAACGTTCTAATTCGCAGGAGGTTGGTGAAGTGTTACTAAAAAAAATTTCGTTCTCGAAAAGCTATACAAAAAGAAGTCTGACATACGTGGAATGTTGTCGTATTAAGAAGCAGAAATACGGATTTCAAACGGCTAAATAAGGCACTATACGTCCGAGGAACGGAAACAAAAAGAGAAAAAAGCGGCTTCTTAATCACAATGACACATTTCTGTAATCGGTTTTCCTAGCAGATAAAAAAAGCATTGAAACGTAAAGGGAATATCATATCTCTTGCAAGCCGTGAAGTGAGAAGTGCCCATTGCGCAGGCGCGACAGGACTTAAATTTTTTTTTCTTTCACTGTCGAATAACGTGGTTCAACCTAGATGCCGGTACGTTCAAGAGTAGCACGGTCTCTGAAAGAGCTTTTCACATATTCTATGAATATATACATATACATATATGTATATATATATATTATACATAGGGCATGTAGTTTTTCCGTTCATCTGAGTTCCTTATTTATTCTTTACACGTTTTCCTCTTTAACTTTTTTTTTCCGTTTTCTGTTTGTATCCGCGGTACCGGGCCGCGAGGTCGACGAAAGAAAGACTCAGACCACGAGGAACCCACGCTAGCGCGAAATTGGCTGCCCCCCTCCTTTTTTTCGCTCTCCGAGTTTCTCGTTGTCGCGTTTTCCCCACCCGTTATCTCGTTATCGTCGCCCGTTGTCGCCCGAAGATATCGGTCACACTCTCGCGTTTTTCCTCCCCGTCTGTGCTCCATCGTGGCTGGTCTTTATCGTTGGCCTCGGGACGCGATATCGCGACCTCTCTCTCCTCTGCAAGGAAAAAGTCGACCGCGCGGACGGACGAGTTGCTCCGCCGTCGACGACGACCGCCAACCAAAGGAAACACGAGACAGACATGCATCTCACGCGTTGTTTAAATCGCGGCTCCCATAGACTATTTACCTGCTTATCGAAGAATAGTATCCTTTTTCTTTTTATCTTTTATTCCGCGTCGTCTCATTGACAAATACTTCGGAATTATAACAGATGGAGAGAGAGAGCGAGAGCGAGAGAAAGATATCGTATATACGAGAAACGGAGAGAGCCACGCTAATGCCGATTCGAATTAGAGATCCGTACGTGAAAGAACGAAAAGTAAACGTTCGAGATTTTGTCGCGACACTTCGGACGCATCTCGTAGTTTTGCGTGTTAATTTTCGTTTATCGGGAATGACGGGAAGCAATTGTTGCAATGGTTTAGTAGAGAATTGCTCGAATTACGGAACAGTGTCACAGACGATTCGTCGATAGGGTCAGGTCTCTCGATGGTGTCCTCTCTTCCCAGCAGTATTCGAGTTTGCTTTTGATTGAATCGGGACGTTAACCCTTTGCACTTAGATTGAGTCTCAGAAATACGCATAGTATGATTTGTCGGTTAGAATTGATTGATTCGGGGAACACTACGAAAAATACAAACCCGTGATTCGTAATAATGAACCAGACGCAAATGAATCCGTTGAACAATTAGGTGCTACGAGACGTGTGCTCCGTGCGGATCCACCACAAAGGCTGTCCATGAACTTCATGCAGCACAGGCTAAAAAAAATTCAAATTTATGGCGGCAAACGATACCCGCAGAGACCGTGTCGAGTCTGTAAGGCGCACGGGAAACGCAAGGATACATGTTTTATGTGCGAGTACTGTGGTGTTGCCTTGTGCAGGATCAATTGCTTCGAGCGTTACCATATGTACGAGCAGTATTAAAAGAAAAAGTAATCTTCCGAAACAAAAAGAGAAACAGAAATTTTAAACTTTCGATCGTCATTTGTACATTATCCTTTGAATACTGAATAAAATTTCGTTCGTCTTCATTCTCAGAGTATTTACCGAGTGCAAAGGGTTACGGAAGCGCATAATTGAGTGTATAAGTCGAACGTTAGAGCCTGGAAGCCGCGGGAAGTGTCTAGAAGCGTTCAGAAGCGCCGGGGCACATTACGATCGCGCTGTTGCTATGAGAAATTTAAGTCGGAGTAACGCGAGAGCTTGAGAAAAGGATATAACGGCGCGAGTCAGCGTGGCGAACGAGAGCGAGCGGGCGAGCCGACCGGCTGCGACCGGCTGTCGCGTCCTAGTTTTTCCTTCCACTTTGGATGCCGTTCTTTCGAGAAATTGGATCGCGACGACGCACACGTGCGCTTGCGTATTGATCGGATCGCTCGGATGAAACGCGTCATCGTATCGTATCGTATCGTATCGTATCGTATCGTATCGTATCGTATCGTATCGTATCGATTTTACAGAAACAGAGAGAAAACAGGAAAAGTACTATTCACGAGTACGAACGCGAAAGAATAGCGAGGTAAAAGAGAAATAGAATCAAAGGGGAAGATGCAAGACGCAAGCGGCTTTGCATAATTCATATCGCGACACGATTACGCCTAGTCGCGCGAGACGCGGAGAAAACGTTGTTGGTCGGAATCGTGTATTAGAATTTCCGAAGTAGATTATTTCCATCGTTGCTACGACACCAGAGGTTATCGGCGGACCCGCGCGCGCGCGTGTATACTTGTGTGTTATTCTTCTGTGTCCGTTTGTGTCTTCTCTCTCTCGCACGAGCGAGCGATTCGGTTGCGAGTCCGTTCCCACGGAAACTCGTCGGCCTTGAGCTCGATAGAGCGTCCCGACAGAAGTATAATTGCGACGGTAGAGAGAGAGATGGGCCCGTGCTCTCCGATGCTTTTACGCGACGTTCCACGGAGAAACGCGTCCAAGAATGGTTCATCAGGCACCGTTGTCAAAGAACGATACGTCCGACCCGTAGACCTGCTGTTAAGGTCATCCGCGTGTTCGTTTGCAGGTGAGGCGACGATTTCGAAACCGTCGACCCAGTTATTCGCGCTGTACAATAACGTCTATAATCGTTGGGTCGTTGAACTCGCTCGATACGAAGTATCAACCGCGCGACGATTTTCAACGCGACACCGCGATCGCTTCGATCTCATTAGGCGCGGTTAATTAGAATAATCGAGCGTCTCGCAGAGGATAGTTTAGCGAACAAAGCTTCTCGGTACGAGGAAAGAGGACGAAACGAGAAAAAGGGAGGAGAGAGGTGGCGAGCAACAGCTGTCGCCTTCTCGGATCCGGTGCATCTGCTAGCGTAACCAAGCAGCTGTCGTTGGCAGATGCAACCTGAGCCGCGAAACTTCGATAGAAACGGTGCGATAGCTTTCGGCGCTCATTTGTGAAAACAAATGGAGTGCGTGTGTAGGAAACATGAGGAACAGAGAGGGATGGAGACTGAGGAAAGAGAACGCCTAGAGAGACCTTTGTAGGGACGTTTTTGAAAAGAATTTAGGATAGGGGCGGGGGAAAGTTAAATCGCAAACGGTGTTTCGTTTCTTTTTTCTTTTTGAGAATAGAGAGATTTTTAGGACCAACGATCGCCCGAAAACGGGTGATCCAACGCGGGAGATATAAGGTAATATCGGAGAGAGAGGAGCGACCTCTCTGTCAATGCTAGTCCTGTCACACTCGAGATTTCGTAATGATCCTCGCTATCGTCGCGTTATGTTACGGTATCGTGTCAAGTTTCCATTTCTTTTGCGTTTCCTTTTCTGTGCCGTATACACTGCAGACATGAATTATTTGTGCATTATTGTGAGCAAGGAAAGAAGCTCTTCTCGAAAGCAGGAAGCGAGACGGGAAGTTCCCCGAGATCAGGAACATAGTGGAACATTTGTACCAAGTGCTCGCATTGATGGGGATGGTCGTTGTTTTCACCGTCAGAGACTTGTTACCTTGAATCGATTGTTCGAGCGGTTTCATTGAAAATTTTGGACAAGAGGAGAATGTTTTCTTTCACGCGGTACGTGAATTCTTACTATACAACTCTGGTTGGTGTACGTTTCGACACGTTTTGTGCCGCCTCGGGTCGTTGATCGATCGCCGAATTTGATGTCGATTCTGGTTTGCGCCGGACGAAGCTGTTTAGAAATGAGATTCACGATTAAAAGATCAGACAAATGTATTACACGTATTCATCGTTGCCCAAGAGAAGAAAGTAATGGAACAGAATCATCCGAAATTGAAATCCATCTTTCGCACGGACGAATGGTTCAGATCTTTTCAACTCGAAATCTAAAAGAAAGGCGGAAGTTATTAGAAGTAGGACGCCGTGACAAACTACAGGAACGTAATACTGTTTGGTACATATCTCGGAAAATAACATCGTGAAAGTACTAACATTTGCAAGCCAAGCTTCTACTATGATATCTCAACCACTTATATAATACTGTGTTAATCAGAAAATCGTGTACGGTGTTATAATTGTTTACCAATCCTCTCGCTTCAGCCAGAGAGATTCCATGATTTTCAGTTAGATAAACTCTCAATTTCACAGAATTATAAGTTTTTCACGGAAAAACTTCGCGACGACGGCGCAAACCGGTAAATCGTAGGAAAGCCAAATCCATTGCAGCACGAAACATGTCGACGAATCTACCTTACCTTTTT